AGAATTTTGAATATAAATTTTCCCCGTGTTTTGTTCCCATTTTTCAACACAAAGACTCAGGCGATTTTCTCCATCTGACTGACTACATATAAGGTGCATACATGTACTCTTAGTCCACTAGCTAGAGAGGGTCCGCCAACAACAAAATCGTCATAATGACATTATCTCATGTGACATGGCATTTAAGGTGCAAATGTCAAAGCCCTATATCTTCTGAAGTACGTATCATTTTGTTGAAGCTTTGCAGATACCTAGCAAGGGTAGTGTTGTTTATGCAAATTCACATCAGGTGACAAGTCACGTGACAAAAAAGCCCCACATGTATATCTCCTGAAGTACTTGTCCCATTAGGTTGAAATTTACAGATAACTACTCGTAGAAACGGAAGTTTTATAGATGAAAATTGAACTTAAGTGATAATGACGTCATTGGATGACAAGTCATGTGACATTAAAGGTGCATATATCTACTGAAGTACATGTACATGTCCCATTGGGTTGAAACTTTGTGATAGCTAGAAAGAGAAGTGTTATAGACAAAAACTGACATTGTGATGATGACGTCATCACATTACAAGTCATGTGACATTAAAAGTGCATCCTTTAAAGCCCTATATCTCCTGAAGGAAATGTCCCATTGGGTTGAGACTTTGCAGATAGCTGGAAAGGGAAGTGGTAAAGACAAAACTTAAATGAAATTGTCACAATGACATCATCGTCATGTGACAGGGCATTTAAGGTGCAAATATCAAAGCCCTATATTTTCTGACGTACAGTACATCTCCCATTTTGTTGAAAATCTGCAGATACCTATATGCAGCAAAGTTAGTGTTATAGATGAAAATTCACATCAGGTGACAAGTCATGCGACAATAGAGGTGCATCCTTTAAAGCCCTATATCTTCTGAAGTACATGTACTTGTCCCATTGGTTGAAATCTGCAGATAACTAGAAAAGAAGCTTTATAGATAAAAGATGACAGATGTTGTAGACAAAACTTAACATCATGTGATGATGTCATTGTCATCATTTGTACATCCCTTAAAGCCCTATTTGCTCTTTGCATGGTAACATGGCTGTGGGTTAAAAGGGGGGCTTTACATGGTTATGCCACATGCACTGGGCCGGGGACCTGACTACTGGGATCCAGATGCTTTCAGGCATATACCTATGTACATGTATGCAACACTCAGGTGGATTATGTACAGCTCTTCTGGGCTGACTTGTTTTTCTAATTTTGAATGAACATGGATTTTAAGGGGAATTATAAAGCCATAACATTTATTTTTGTAAAGATTTTGAAGTCTTTTTTCTTTCTATTATTTCATCTTTTCTTTCCAAATTAATTTTTGGATGATTTCCTTTCATGCTTTTTAATACACAAAAGAAATTTTTCATTCAGTCACAATCCACTCTGTGTATTCCTATTGCCTGTACAAGACAAAATAATAGCCCTACATGTAGCTCATGTCTCTTTTTTGCTATAACTTTCTTATGTTTGTCAGAGGAGAGTCATCTTGGTGCCATTGGAATGCTTTTGGAAAGAGTTCCATATACGGATGCCACTTGACAACCTGTGCAAAAACAAAAACATGAGACTGGTCTGAAAAATTCTAAGTGTTTTGTCAGTAAACAACTTGGTATTCCCCCCCTAAATTGAACTTTACTGAAGATATATGTTTTTGCTTTCTGATGGCTGATACCAGTAGGTCACTCTAGGGAACAGTTAATGGTATCCATATATGGAACTCTTCCCAAGCTTTTTTCACGACCTTGCATCACAGTTCTTTGCACGAAGCAATCTTTTCTCTGAATGTGTATAAGACCAGTAACGGGAGTCAAGAGTGTTACCAACAAAGTTATGACTTCCATGTTGGAAAACTCTAATGGATAGCAAAAGTAAAATAAACCATAATAGTGCTTATCCAAAGAGAAACATCGTCAGTTTTACACACAATTGTAAATATTCATTTTCTCAAAACTGTTCCGACATTTTGGATTGCCTGCAGTTGTAAAAATTTCGTTTAAACCAGTAAAATCAACTTTCCGTGACAGGAGTTTGTTAAAAAATTGGGTCAAACTATGGAAACGTAAGTTTCAACTTTGGCAACGTACATGTACGTGTACATGTATGTTTCCATTTAATTACATTTGACTTACATGTATGACTGGAGGATATCCTTTTAGTAATACTTGTTTGATAAACCATTGTTGATATGACAAGGACTAGCATTCAAAAAGACAGTAACTGCAAGTTAACTATCAAAGACAATCTTTACAAAACCCTTTGTTTCTAGAATCACGAGCACTCAGGATTCGTTTGCCAATTAATGAAAAACTTACACCATTAACATAATTATATTTTTATAGATCTTGTAAACCTACAAGTAGAACAAGTTATAAAAGGAAAACATGAGAAAAATCTCATAATAAACATGCATATTTTATCTGTGTATGAAACTAGTAACATGTTTCAATTCAGTTTGTCAGCATTTTTCTTCAGTTTTTCTCTGTACATGTATTATGGCATGTAGAGTGGCCAGTTTGCTTCAATCTCCGACTTGTCCTTGTCATTTATCACAACAAATGTTTTGATGTTACTGTATGTTTGGGTTCACTTATGCAGTATACAATCTTGTCTCTAGGGATCCACAGGTCATCTGATGATACAGGTCACTTGAAGAATTCGGAAAACTTGTCACTGCGCTTCAACAAGTTGATGAAAACATCTTCATCATCAGAGTCCAATACATGTACCTTCCCAATGTACCACTTCTCATTGTACACTGCTGCTACCTAATCATCTGTATTGTAGAGGATTTGCTCCGCAGTCCAAACTAATTGTTGTGGTTCGGTTTGGGATTGGTTGGGTGTGTCTGCAGTATTTTGAGGCATCTGTTCTGGAAGGTCCAGACTTTCCAACCACTACACATTGCATCTCTATAGTGATCGTTGTTAATAATGTAGCGCTTGCTGCAGTAGCAAGAGTCATTTCTCATCAGTAAATGACCATCAATTCCAACTACAGAGTGTGTAGTAAGGGTGCCCTGAAACGTCTTCACCTTGGACCATTTATCGGCGATTGCCCGTCCACTGGCAACGCACTCATCTTTTGTGATGAAGAAGTACTCTACTTTGTTGCCTTCCTTTCCATGGCAGTCCTGGCAAGCCCAAGCGAAAAAGTCATGAGCATCCTGTTTCACTGAAGCCTTTCTCTTGACGGCTTCATCTGCTAGACGGTACCACCGATGCCACCACAAGCTCCTTTCCCATGCCCTGCTTTAAAGTAATCCCACTGTGCTTCTACACCGGCAAACAAATTATTGTGGTTACATACCACTGAAAACGTTGGCTTGTTTCCGTTTTGTGATGTCGGACTGTCTGTCCAGTAATGGAATCTCAATAGATTTGGCACAGTTTCCTTCAACTTTGGCATCAAATTTGTAATTATTGCAAGTATTGTGGGTGTATTTTGGGCCCTCTCATCCGAGACAGCAGCTAGGCTTTTGTGGACTAGCCTACCGTCTTTATCCCTGTAATAAACTACGATGGCATGAATGGTGATCGAGTCTTGTGCCCACTTTGTACTTCTCCAAGCGGAATGCACTTACAGTTTTCTGAAAAACCCATGTGCACAATGCAGTGGTCAGGGGGAAAATGTTCTTTGCATTTTGACAAGGCACGACACAGATTCTGCACTTGGAGAACATGCAACCAAAATTCTTGGATGTCCTTTGTAAATCTTGCACAGAAATCATCTCTGCCAAGAGAAACTTGAATGAGCTTTGGTTTTTTCTATTGTCTACTGTAATGTGAGCCCACTCCTCAAAGCTGATGTGATCTGGCTTGATTGACTGAAGTAGCAAATGTACTTCTTGCTCACTACTGTCCTTGATAAACTGATCTGGGTTGTCTGTTAATGTTTCCCAAGTTTTTGAGGGGCTTGAGTTTCAACGACAAGTACAAGCACACAAACTGAACCAACTTGATGTGAGGACATAGATTTCTTCTAATCCTGTGAAAAGCTGACAGTGACATGTGCCATTCTCTGGATTTTCTGTGATGTACTTAAGGTGTAGATTGCCCATGTCACAAAGTCCACCATGATTGGGACAATGTAGATATGATACAATTAAAGAACAAACCCAGAAATGTACAACATTGACAAGAGTAGAGCAAGTCACAACCACTTTATGTTAATGCAAGAATATACTCTAATTCGAATAAACCAACAAAATGAAAATATTACAAAATTTACAAGTTACATCAAAAAAGAAATTATACAATATAAATAACCATCACGAGCTTAAAACAGTACCAGGACAAAGAAGAACTGGGGCATCACACACAAGGGTGAAGTCAGCAGCTCCCAGTAGGTGACGTCAGGTCCACAGGAACTACTTGCAGTACGGCATTGGTGCATCACTCCCGGCAGATGATAGAGGCATGTCCAGTTCCCGACCAAAAAAGCCAGAAAAAATCTGGCTTTTAAGGTTCATTCACGGCGAATCTGGCTCAGCAAACCCATAGCCGAACGGGTATCCAAAATCATCAGCCTCGGCCGGCAACACAAACTTCCATCGGCCTCCTCCGAACTGAAGAGTGAATTCAAAGGGCTTCAGTGCCCTTGAAGACTTCAAGCCAGAGTTGTTTGCCACTAAATGACAAGTCACTCCCCAAAGTTGTCATCTCTTTCTAAGAAATCTTTAACGTCATTGTGAAGAGAAATTCAGAGTTGCTTTGTCTTTGTATTAGAAGAAGTCGAGTTTCCTGTCACCCGTGCCAGGTTTCGTCTACCCAAACCACTTGACGGCTGGAAGCTCAAAGACAGTTTTGCATGTGGCTGTGACTTCAACATTTGCGAATTTTGCCTGGCATTTGACATGTCTATACTTATACATGTATGACACCAGGCAAAATTGTTGAGCAGTTGAAAAATAGCCTAGCCGTTGCCTGAATTTGTTTGCCTGAATGATGCATCAGAGTCCTGCACACCTCGATGCTTATGTCAGATCATGATGGGTTAGAGCCTACCTCCATGGTTGGAAGAAGGAACTCACTGTCCCCAAATCAGTCTATTGCTGATATCACGGGTGACGCGTACCAGCAGCCTGTGGTTATATGCGCACAACCTGAGACCCCATGCACCATATGCAAGGAACATGGAGTTGTCACTGAAATGGATTAGTCACTGGTCATATGGCAGGTACCGAAAGCACTGAGTAAGCTGTTCCAGTGAGGGTCCCGGTAAAATTTCCACACATTAACATCAAACCAGTACAATTTTGCACAGCAAAGTCTTGGAAACGCCATTTCTCTGTTTTGCGACAAATACTATCATGACTAGGCTATTGGTGACAGTGTGTACTGATGAAAACATACATTTAAGACCAACACTGGGTTGAAAAACAAGAATATTGCCAGTAGTGTACATATTTTTGAAATTTGTTTATGATGACTTGCCAAGACTTAGTAGGCCTATATAAAAACAGTACATTTCCAAGTAGGGGGCCTAAGTATCATGCCCACTGGCAGATTTAGGCATGCCATACACTAAAAGTAAAAAGTCAAACTTATGCGACATGATCATGTGTTTGTGGTGAATGGCCTGCCACCCTGATGGACCTACCAAATTTGTCATATTTGGACCAAAACAAACAAAATCACCGTCCACCCTGACAATTAGGCCTAAATTATAAATACAACCATGCAAACACTCACTCACCCTCTATTCATGTTGACTGTAGGCCTACTTCTTGCAGAGTACGACTCCTGTAGCTGTAGTAGGCCTTCATCATACGCCTAGGTATCGGAGTATCGAGTACTGGATCAAACCACGGTAGAGGAGGTCTACGACGAGTACAGTACAATCAAACCGAGAGCAACCCAGTAGTGAGTACTAGTCGTACTCAGTAGTACTACTACTTAGTAGTAGAACTCACTGCTCAAATCGGTTGTCAACAGGCATCCGTGACAGGCCTATCGTTGTCAAGCGATCAAAAATGTCATTCAACATGGCGAACTTCCAAAGCTCTTATCCAAAATAACGGGATAACGTCTAGAAACACGTACACAATCCGACGTCGCAAGTGAAGCATGCTCACTTTTTTCAGACATGCATACATCAATGAAATAGATCTAGCAGACGTCAGGACATTGCACCTGTGTACGGAAGCATATTTTGGTCACGATTAAACAAATTTTTGGCCCAAAATTTTTGGGCACAAAGTCAGTGGGCCTACCGCCAACAAATGTGCACCGTTTGCATGTAGCTAGCTGAGAGCGCATACGCACTCGATCACTTTCCTGTGGATTTCGGCTTCGAGGCTAGGCGACGTAGGACACCGTTCCGATACTTCTTATTCCGAGTGCGGAGTAGGCTACTGGTACTGCAAGTGCAGTAGGGCC